CGTTCTACATTTCCACGTTCTCACAAGGGGATGAGTCTCAAGCTGTGTGTCTGAACTGCTTTTACTTTTAAAATTTCAGTCTGCAAATGTTTTGGCTTCTTTGAGTTACCTGTGTTTAAATGTGAAAGGAGATGCGATTATTTTGGCTCAAATGGTCTGAGCCCAAATTCTTAGTGAGTGCTTTCAATTACCGCAAACTGAGGGCATGGGCATATGAATACGTGTACAGGTTTCAAAAGGGGAGGGGAACCTGCTGCTTAGGAGTAGCAGTTAGGCTGTAACTAGTACCTGTACATGATTCTGTAGTGATACAAGCAAGTTAAACTGCTCCCACTTTGACCCTGGATGAGCAGTACACCTCCCCGCTCTTCACTTAAGGCCGTTACACCTGTATGTTTTTCCTTACAGAGCTTCTGAATTTGCAGGAGTTTGTAGCTGTGGATATTACATTTACAGTTCAAATTTACAGTGCGAATTTCAGAGTTATGCTGCTTGCCTTTTTAAACTGACATCCATCTGTACCACCCATTCACCTGCCCAAGGAGACCTTGGTTTCTAATATACCTTTTCCATTTTATTTCTATAGGAGGTGTATGGCAGATTCATTAACTTGAGTAGGGAATGCAAGAAATTTCTTAATGTCCCCTCTGAAATGGTCTTTTCTACTAGCAAGACTTTGAAAAGAAATATATCTATTCTTTTCTGAAAATCTTAAGAGGCAAATTAAATCTGCTTATTTAGGCTTGGGGGGGTTGTTTGTTTTTTACAGTTTACAATGAAACCATGCTGTAAAACTCCTCTGAGTTCATTAACTCACTTTGTGGCATTGGTAAGGTATGTTTTTAGTCTGAGGCACAATATCACAGATACTTTGTAAGCTATTTATCAGTGCCACCGATGTTAACCCAGATATATACATGTAGGGTTACATAGGAGGTCAGAAGCATGAACACTAATTTGCCAACAATTCTTCAGTTTAGCCCATTTACATATTTATAACCCTCTTCTACATTTCTTTTTAAATTGCCAATGACACTTTCAAGCTGCATTTGATCAAAAACAAGTTCAAACTCTACCTTGCCAGGTTCCCTTTAATGAGATGTATTTCTAAAAATTTTTAAAACATTATATACGCAGAGTCATGGTCAAGTATAAATCTTATTCTGCTATCCATAGGGGCAGAAGTTACTGGAGAATCACCACTGTTTCACTGTGCAGGCTGCAGAGAAGCTATGCAGAGGAATGCTGCATGTGCAGTGGACTTGCTCCATGGTGACTCACTCCACAGAACTACAGAGGAGTGATTTTCCAACCCAAAGCCCACTGAAGTTAGTATATATTCTTTTCACTGATTTATATGGTCTTTGGATTAAGCTCTTAGTGAAAAGCTACTCCATAAGTACACAGACCCACTGGCCACCACACAGATGAAGGAGTATAAAGAAGTCATTAGAACAGTTTTTAAATTTTTGTAATGACTCTTTACTCAAGCTTTAAATAACCATGTCAAAGTTGATCCCAAAGAAGTAGTTTCTGTTTAGCCTGCAACAGACATTGACCACCAGCTATTTATAGTAAAGCCTGTCCATAATTGTCCCTGAGAATGCTATGCTATCTTAAAAAGAGCAACATCTTTTCCCTGTTATTTATTGCAAGATCCTTACTTGAAAGGCTTCCATTGTAATGACCAAGTGTTAACCTCCATTATAGTCTAGTCATTTCCCAGATTTCCAAATTAGGAGGGTAGGGAAGAGGCATTGGTGAACCCAGACAGGATTGCAGTGGAATTAAGTTTTCAACAAACAGAGCAACTCAGGCTGACACTAGACTTAGACAACAGATTCCCTTACTGTGCTCAATACTTCACAAAGAAGAATGCAAGGCAGCCCTCCATCACTTATACACACAAATACGGGCTTTGAAGGTTCCAAACATTTGAGCACTGAAAACTAAAACCATCTACATTTTTACTAAGCAAAGTAAATTTAGGCAGATTTAAATTGCAGTTTACAGAAGACAATTGAATTTAATACTTATTGAGAAAGCTCTAGGAAAGAAATTGCTAGTTTGCAATGCTTAGACAGAGCTCATTCAGCAGCTGTTAAAGGTAGGGACCTACCTAAATCACAGTGTACTGCGCAGCGGCTCCTTTAATTTTGCTATTTTTGCTGCCTGCCCTCTCCCCACATCTGGCTGCTGATTGGTTATGGGGTCCCAGCTGCCCTACCACTTACTGCTGATTGGCCAGAAGGCAAAAACCACAGTTTAAAATATGCCGCAGTATTTGCCTCCTGGCCAATCAGCATCAAGCTGCGATGCTACCAGGGGCCCTCAGCCAATCAGGGGCAGGAGACATAAACCATGGCATATTTAAAATCATGGTTTTTGCCTCCTTCCCAATCAGCAGCAAGTGGTGGGGCTGATGGGACCCCTCCACAAATCAGTGGTGGTGTGTGCAGCAAAAAGAGCAAAATTAAAAGGAGCCGCTGCACAGCACAGTTCCACCATGATTTAAGTAGGTCCCTAGTTACAAGTCCCTAGTTATCAGACTTTCAACTTCAGTCTGAGGACACACATTAAGTACTGTTTGTTCTTATAGGATCTACAAAAATTGGGTCTAGGAGACCTGCTTCTGAGAGGTAGTGGCCACCCACAACTTTACTTGAATTGAATGGGGCACATATATATGTCCCAATCAGTCAGAAATTAGGCCTGTTATGGTTAAAGAATACACGTCGTTGGCTGCATAAGAATACAATCTCTTCCAATAGAGAAGGGGCACATTTACATTTTTTCTCCTGACATACATCCTGCGATATGGCGGTGTAATTAGCAAGTTTTGCATCCCAGGAAAAAGTGTACCAGAGAGCAGCTGGGGTAGGATTGTCAGTCTTACCTGTCCAGGGACTCAGAGTCACCTGCTGCTGCCATAGCACCGTTTGCCCATCATTTGTTGTTGCTACTGCTGCTAAAAACAGCAGTCTGGTATCCCTGCACCCAGCTTCTGCTCCTGCAGCAGTGGCTTGCGGCTGCTGACGCAGCGCAGACTCCCCAAGAGAGCCATTACAAAACCAGGATAACAGGGGGCCACTACTTGGTTTCAAAATTTACCACCAGGCAAATACAAACAATACATATCGGCTAGCTCTTGAACAGGGATTTTCATATCTCACTCTCAAAGCACTTTACACAGGTGGGTAAGCATCACTGTCTGCTCTCTCCTGTGCCCTCTCTACATCGTACTCTACATCGTTGGCACCCCACCTCACCCAACATTAAATACACTACCGCCACAGTATACCACAAATTTAAGTACAAATCCTCATGCTTGTTTTACTACCTCAGAGCAGATACTCCATAGAGGTAACTGCTGCTGCTAATGACTCTCAGGCTTATCTATTTGACTGTTTAAAATTATGTCCTTTATAATTTAAAACAAACCAGGTATAAATAATGGATGAGGACTATGGTCCAAAATTCAGAAGGAAAATAATAGAAGTCAGGTTCTACTGTGTGATTTCTTATCTGAAAATGTAAAAGATCTTGGAGGTTTCATTTATGAATTATGATATCAATCTGGCAATGCCTTCAAGATAGAAGGTACAATCCAGAGACCCAACAATTCTGAATCTGACATGCAGTAGCGCAGACATAAGACAAATGGGTGTGTCTGTAGGTCTGCATGTATTTAGGCTGGTTATTGTCTGGGGTAAGGCATTATTCCTTCCAGGCTTGATGTTGGTAAGGCTTAATGAGCCTGTTTTCTTAGGTCTGAACTTCTTTACTGCCTGAGCCCCTAAGGTTTGGAATAGACTGCTGCCGGAGGCAGGTCAAGCACCCACTCTGAACGCCTTCAAGACATGTGGATACTTGTCAGCAGGGATCATAGGATCCCAGCAAGATTTCCTGCTCCAGGGGCAGGGGGCTGGACTCGATGATCCTCCGGGGTCCCTTCCAGCCTGAATGTCTATGAAATCTATGAAGTCTGCAGTTACAGGAAGAGTGTTTTTGTTTTGTTCTTCTTAATCGACATGCTCAATCTCATTTTGCTGAGGGAAGAACTTCTTTATTGTCCGAGCCCCCAAGGTTTGGAATAGACTGCCACCAGAGTTGGTTCAGGCACCTACTTTGAATCCCTTCAAGAGATATTTGGATGTTTATCTTGCTATGATCCCTGCTGACTTCCTGCCCCTGGGGCAGGGGGCTGGACTCAATGATCTTCCAAGGTCCCTTCCAGCCCTAGTGTCTATGAATCTATGAATTTTTATGAAGGTCAGTATGAATGAGAAGGTTCAAAAGGGTGCTGAGAACTGTAAAAGGATATTGCAACCTACCCCATTGTAATGTATTTGTTATGGAAGTGTTATGTTAACATGGTGTCATTTGGACTCTGTGCTTATCTTTTTTGAGATCAGGTTATTATAGAGGAAAATGAAGCAATCCTTGCATTCTCTTTTTAAGATTAGCAGATGCCAATATTTTTCTTGTTCCAAAGGAGGTATTTAATCGTTCAAACTACTTTTAATCTTAAATCTTCCTCACAGCCAAAAACAAGGAGGTATCAGAATCTCAATAGTGACAGAAATGAGTAACAAATATCAATCCTAATCTATTCTGCTGAGTGGGTATGATGGGGAGGGGTGCAATTCGTTGTTCTATTTGTCTGTTAACTGGTGTTAAAAAGGTTTGGGCTTGAGTTTACCAGACAAGAGCAAACACTGCAAAATGGCTAGCTCTTGAACAGGGTTGTTCATCCCCCCACCAACCCAAAGCACCTCACAAAGGTGTATAAGCATCATTATCTGTTTTCTCCAAATAGAAGAAGTGAGGCACAGAGGGGTGCTGTGATCCAACCAAAGACACAATGGGTGTGTTTATACAAGAGGTTTACTGCAGAGCTGACTAATTAACTCTAAAGCAGGGTTTTCAATCTCTTATAATAAGTGTACCCCCGGCAGCTCCC